ATTGTGTCGCATAATTACGCGCGCGGGGACATTTAATGAACCTGGTTGTAGCGATGGAACGGCCGTTAATTCGCGCATCTCGGTCGCACACCGCACGGAAGTGATTTACGCGCGTTGCACGTAACTGTTATTTATAGTGGCTATTTTATCGGCTCTCGCTCGTCCAATGCTCGTACGGCTTGACTGAGTCGCGAGTCAATTTACTAATTGCCAACTCGGCCGTAATCAGCAGCAACAACGAGTTAATTCACTTTTTCACCGTCCTTCGTTATATCGTGGCGTAGAAACGCGTCGTATAACAAACCGTTTATGCAACTTATTTATCAGGATACTGTTGAATTACACACAAAAAAAAGTCATTATGCATACGCAGGCGCATTAATGGAATCACAATGCTCGACAACTCGATTAAAAGAAACGTGTAACTGTCTGTCCCATCGCTTCTTTCCTCAATTCTCTTCATATAAAGCTGATCTTGCGATATGGGATTTAAAACGGTTCGGGCTTTTGCAGCTACGAAAATAAATCGAGTACTCCAAATAGCGATTGTGGCTTACGTCGGTTTCGAGCTACTTCGCCGACAGGCCAAGCGGGAGTCGACCAGAAATCGGTCAGGAACCACCGAAAGTTCTCCGCGGAACTGTGACCGTGTCTTCCGAGAAGCCGAGGGCCGCTACCGACGTCGTTTGATGCTGGCTACATCAAAGCAGACGCCGGATAGAGTATCGGTAACTGTGCTCTCGGAATAATTTCGACATCGTTGCATCGCGCGCGCGATAATCCTATCAGCCGCCGAGCCACGGGTTCAACCGGTGGTGGTAAATGTCGAAGAACGCACGTGCCTGCAACCATCCGGGTACAGATGGGAAAGAGAAAGAGAAAGTGAATTTATTTCGCCTGCGGCTCAAGTTCTGTCAAGTATGCAACACAACAAACCGACAATGTGTCTTATTATAAATATGTTTCGAGAGAAGAAAATTCATGTCGGAAGATGCAGTTTATCGTGGTATTATCTTTTGCAAACTGGCAAAAGAATTAAGATGAAACAAAGTGTAAAAATGAATTCAAAATAAATAAACGAAGAGAGCGCAAATGAGAAGAAAAGATGGAGAACAACGAGAAACGGTTGATACGAGCGAGAGAGAGAGAGAGAGAGAGAGAGAGAGAGAGAGAGAGAGAGAGAGAGAGAGAGAGAGGGGGGGGACTCGTTAGAGGCATGAGGGGCGCCATATGGGTTAGTAAATTTAACTCTGCTCACGAGAAAGCCTCACGGAGGGCGAGAGAAGAGAGCAAGAGAGAGAAAGAGCGAAGACAGAGTACGTGGGAAGTGTGCAGAGGCGCAAAAGGCCCCGGCCATCTGCTGCCGGCGGCGACCCTGCGGAGCGGCGGTCTCATAGTCAGAACTATAGTCAGAAATGCGCGAGCACCGATATGAGAAGATTTGACGTGCGCCAAAAGATGCTAACATTGGCGCGCGCGTGCGTCAGCTTTGGCACCAACGCACCGACCATTCGGGAAAACGTCAGAGAAATTATCGAATCGTCGGAACTTAAATTCCGAGTGTTGTGAACTTACGTGACAGTTACAAGATGGTTCGCGGTCTTGTAAAATAAATTGAATGAATATTTCTTCAATTGTATAAATCACGTTACATCACTTGCACCTTGAGAATCTTTACTTTTGTCGTAAGATCATGTAAGAAATGTCCTTCCTCGCTTATCGATGCTTTATACGTAATATCGACTTTTCTATATCTCTTTTACTAGGTATGTCAAACTTAAATAAATTATAAATATTTTGATTCCGTGAAATCTCCAAGTATCATCTTTCCGATTTTCTGCCGTTCGATTCGACTTTCGTCGATCGTCTCTTTAGTCCCAGTCTACAATAGATGATTTAAGCCCTAAGCTTTAAGAAATTGGCCAATCACGGTCAAGTATGAGTAGAATGCGCGACTGTGATTAGTCAATTTCTTAAGGCTTAGGGCTTAAATCTCTATTGTAGACTGGGACTTACTCGTACCGCATTTAAATTTCGACGCCTATGAAAGCAACAGCAAGCAGCATCAACAACAGCAGGAGGGAAAGACAAGTGTTACTCTCCCCTTGTGCACGATCTCTCTCTCTCTCTCTCT